AATGAATAATATATATTTATTAATAATTTATATTAATTAAAATATAATATAAATAAATAAATAAAACAGAAAATTAAATAAATAATATATATTAATTAAAATTTTCTTTAATTAATAATAAAATAAAAAGTAATAATAAAAAAAAACAAAAAAACACAAAAATTTATAAACCACAAATGATTAAAGCCTACTTACGGGTGGCATTAGCACATGATAGGGGTGTCATTAGCCACCTCCTTCAATTAATTATATATTTATATTTTATTTTATATATTTATATTAAAAAATATATATTATTTTTATGTTACTTTATTATTTTATACTTTTAATTTTATATATTACAATTTAATATATTATTATTATATTAATTTATTATATATTATGTATAAATTACTTTATATATATATATATATTTAGATTCTTATATTATATATATATATTAGTTGTGTACCTATGCAATGCGGCGGGAGCCATTAATTTTAACGATTTTGAAGTTTCATTGGTTTTATAAGATAAGATTTAACGATGATATAAGTTATACTTGGTCTTTACATATTAATACAATTTGAATAAATAATAGTTATGGTTCCAATTACAGACTATCGCTAAAAAATTGTATGACAGTTTAAAATCCAATATATTTAAAATCCAACATATTTAAACGACTCCACATATGTATTCGATTTACCCAAAGAGCAAATAACCAAGAAACTTGAGTTTTAAGATAAGCACTCAAAATCAATAAAGAAAACTACAAATTTGACAGATTATAAGCCATGAAAAGACAAAAAAAGATGGGTTTTAGAATGAAATTTCAACTGCTTACCCTCTTTTTTTGTCCAGAAAACTCAGATTAAGCTTGAATTAATACATGTATATATATATTTCAGAAAGCCCAAGAACATATTAATTCAAAACATATTATACAGTGCAATTTGGGCAGCCTAACCCCAAAATATAGTATATATATAAATAAATAAATAACTATAAAAGTATAAATCGTAAATATTAAAAATAGTTTTTCACAGTATATATAATATATAATAATATAATTAAGTAAAAAATTATTCAATATTGGACTCATTTCGAAGGTATTAACGAGACGATTATAATGGTGTAACTTGTTAAAATAAAAATGTATTTTTTAAACATGTTTTAATTGATATACGATTATGTATGTTAATTTGATAAATGTTTAAAATGAAACATTTAAAAGTAAATGATGTAAAATAAATTAATTAATTGTAGGGGTATAAAGTGTAAATTTAAAATTATAATTTTAAAAAAATCGGTTGTGAGAGGGTGAGTGTATGTGAGGAGAGGAGGGGGTGAAAAAGTTAGTATAAAGGGTATTTTGGTCATTTAATATTTTAAGACTTTAAGAATTTTGTTAAATTTGTTTAATAAGATAGTATATATATATATATATATATATATATTAGATTTTTATATTTATTTTATTATATTTATTTATTTATATATTATTTTATATATTATTACCTTATTCTTCATCTTCTTTGTCTTTCTTTACTTCATTTTCATTTTTAATCTTAAAATTCTTCTTTTGATATGTAATTTCATATCAAAAAAGTGACAATTTACTTTTTTGGTCCCCTAAAATTTATAAATGAGGCTTGACCTTAGGTCATTTTGTTGTTCCTATTATGATCATCTTACGCTTAATTTCCAACTAAAACAACTCAAAGACCCATTTCCTGTTCCATTTTTTCTATTAAACGGATCAACTACACCATCACTGAAACGTGGTTCACCATGAAACGATTTTATATTACTTATGAATCAATTACAACGTGAAACAGGTTTCATGAACAGTTTCACCTTCATGAAACCTGTTTCATTAACATTATTTTTTTGATTTGAACCATAATTTACGATTTCATTCCATAATGCAATTCAATCTTCAAGACCCGTTTGCAGATTCAATCTCATAACAATATATCAAATTCAAATTTTTAATATTATAATATAATTAAATATTTAAATGTTATCATTTATATAATTTTCTTTATTACGTTTCCTTAATTAAGATTTTATTAATAACTTCCATATTTTATAGAAAATATTGTAAATGACCGAAATATCCTTATTGATTAAATTTAATTAAAAAAATGAAAATTTTCTATTAATCGAAATTGGTTTACACGGTTTCTTAAAAATGCACGGTTTTTCATTTGAACGTGCCCCTATATAATTATTAGAAAAATAGTAATGTCTATATGAAAGTAAACATATAATAGAAAAAAAACTTTAACATGAATATAAAATATTTTATTTATTATTAATATTTATATTTTTAAAATAATATAATTAAATATTATAAAATACATATTAAAATATACAACATATTATAAAAAATATAATTTATTAATAATTATATATTAATCACACCTTTTCCTGATTAAACCACATATTAATCGAGTCATGAGGTTTTCAAATCCAACAATAATCTGTAAACATAATGATATCAGTCTGAGTCAATGACTTAACGGCCTTAAAACGCCTTCAAATGGCTAAAACGGCCTGATGCACGACTTGTAGACATTAATCACAATGTTTGCAAATTATGAAGG